TTGTATCGCAAAGCATTGCAGCATATCGACTTGGTTGGAGCACAAGCATAGAATATATATGAAAAATAGTATCGTAACATTTTGAGAAATATATAAATTGGCAGGATGTTATTTTTAAGAATCAATGCAAACTTCAGAGTGTACCTCTGCACGGCGCTGGATCCAGTTGCATCGTGTATTTTCTTTCACTTGACATTTCCGTTTTTCCTGTTTGCTACATCGTATAGCGATATCTTAATCCTTCGTGGAATTTTTGTTCTCGTCATAAACAGATCGGGCAAGCACCCGACCTGCCTCAATCGAAACATTAGCGGTGAAACGACGTCGTAAATAACGTCTTAAGTGTACCGTCATACCATTGACCCTATGCCAAGAGTATGCTGACCTACCAGAAGCTTTTATGTTTCGTCTAACGAGAGTTATCATATGTTCATGAATGAAAATAAGATAGATTCAACCACGTAATAATATTATTTGTCGCGTTCCATTTAAAATACTAGAATACTTTTTAATTATGTATATATATATATATATATATATATATATATATATATAATGTTATAAAAAATTATCTTATTGTAGAAAATTGTGATAGATTATCGTCATAAGAGAAAGGATATTTTTTGGATACAATTTCGGGAGAATAAATAAAAGTACTTCTTTCTTTCATCGAGATGGCCGTTTTAAACGCAAAAAAGTACATCTCCAGACTCGTATTTGGCGATGTCGAAAGTGAAAGAAGGAGAAGTAGCTCGCGATCTGGCATCTATAGAAGACGTAAAAACTGCGGGATCGTTTCTTTCTTCCGTTTAGAAGGAGTGAAGCGAGAGACCAAGAGGAGAGATGGGGAAGGGCGTCGGCGATAAAGGTAACGTAGGGCGTCGCGACGTCCGTCAAGCCGCGCCGGTTGGTCGGCCGGCGGTGTGTTCTCCGTCTCTCCCTTCCCCGGGGTGTTCTGTGGCCTTCGGCGAAAAGGATCTTCCACGTCCTTTGCCTCCCTACGTTTCCTCCTCTCGTTTCTCTCTGGAAACGAGCGAAACGCTTCTCTCGGGATCAAGGAAGAGCGCAGACTCCAAACGGCACCGGCGACCCCCGTGAATGGCGACCCTCACAAACCAATCGTATTCCCGTTTCCATCCCTCTTCGCCGCCGGAGGACTACTCCGACGGGAGTTACCCTCCGCGCCAACCCTGTCGACGTCGTTACTGTTACCCTAGCTGCTTGTTGCCCCTCTTTGCACACCCCCGCGTTCGTCTCCACCCCTCGTGCTCGCCTCTGACCGTGATTCTCTCCGGCAGGACGCCGGCATCGAGGACGATTCACCGTTCCCGACGTAACGACGTTATTTTCACGTTTTAATCGTGATCCGGATTATGTGGTCTGCCGAAGATTCCCGCGCCGATCGTCCATTTGCCCGTTTAAATCCGTCGCTATATCGTAACGGGAAAATCCGGGAGGGTACAGCTCGCAATTCGCAGCAATTTCCTTCATCTTTTTCTCGTCGATTTCTCCGACTTTTTATATGTATAACACAAAGTTGTTTGTGCTTTAATATGTTAAATAAATATAAGTATCGTCAATTGAATGTGTATATATAATTATATTAGGTAATTGTACTTTTTCATATCAATAGTAAAAAAAACGGAGGATCTGAATGAAAGATTAATATGAAATATTAATTTTATTCGTTCATTTTTAGCGCTTATCGGAAAACGATTTAAAATTGTCTTAAGAAGATGAAAATAATAAATGTCATTCCATGATCGTGAAATTTTTATCGTGTCGATGTGGCATCGAAATATAGCTCAACTGACTTTGGAACGATTACGAATTCTCGGCTCATGAACCTTTCGACTGGCACATGATCTTGCACGATCATTTCTGATTTCCTATACATTCTCGCTTTTCTCGAATTTATATTCTATCATTCACATATATCTTCTTTATTTTCTTGGCATACTTTTGACTTATTTTTACTCTCTCTTTTTATGAAAGTTTATTTTATAAAAGAGTCGTATTTTTGATTCTTGACATTATTTTTAACAAAGTTTATTTGTATGTGAAATTATTGCAATATATATGCAATATGTAATATATATGCAATTTGATTCTTTTGATGTTTTTTGATGCTTTACGGAAACAGAAAATTACTTCACTGATCGGAATCAGTCGTCGTCGCCGCGTAGCGGAAGCATCACTCCGATAGATGTATACGGATCTGGATCGATGCGTCGGGGATGGCCGTCGACTACGATTTGCAATTATTGTCGATAGTATTATCGACGCGCACCTGTCGCGTTACGTCGCTGATAATCGTCGTGTGACTTAACGTAGTGTATCGCTCGAATGACAGGTTTGTGCACGCGTTTCGCGAGACACGCCTCTGACTTATCTGCGCATCGGCAGAGGGGTGAAACAGTTATGTGTTACGATACGCCTCATTGTGTTGCCGCGCTTTAAACTCGCATTATTCAAATTATCGTGGTAATAGGGATCGTAAATTACAGAATTTCATCGCCATCGTTGATTTTGCCAATACTGGAAAATTTATGAGCCATTCATATATATAGAAATTTTTATTCTCTAACATTATCTATTTTCAATCATTCTCCTCACCCGTAAGCTTATGCGAAAAACAGAAAAGCGTATTGTATCACGACATTAAGTTTCTGGAGTGGAATCATAAATAGACGCATTCCGAGACGAAACAGTTGATGGCATGATTGTCACTGACTTCTCACACCATCTTCTCATTGTTTTTTTTTTCACTTTTTTTTATCTTCGCGTATATGCTTTATTTTTCATTTTTGGATACGTTGTAACCCGATAAAATTGTAAAACAATTTGATTAATTTTTGAATCTTATCAGAAGAAAACGATATCGAAAGGGAAGATATGAGAAAAAGCAGTCTCTGTATATTTATTGCAGAATATAATATGATATTGGCCTCGATATTTTATCCTGTTCGAACGAATTAATGCGCGAATGCGCAAAGGGATGGATTCCGCAACGGAAATGTAAGAATCGTAGGAAGTACTTGAGCTAGTACTCGTCAATTTATGCTGTGGATGGAGAACGATCGTGCCACGGGCATTCTGACGGGCTATGATCATCAGCGCAGATAAACGCAATCGATAAGAATCCGTGCTATTCCTGCGCGTTACACATCACGTGTAAACAACATTGCTTTCTTTATCTTTGTGCGCGGGAAAAGTAGCGCTCGTTACCGCTCGTTAAAAATTGTTGTGTTGATCAGGGAAATTGCTGAGTTGCGGTATTCAGAGGATAAATTTTGCCACCTGCGTGGATATTTTGTAGTTTTACGTCCGTATTTAAGGGGATAACGAACGCGTTTCGCACTTAGATGCGGGAGATGATCGCGGAGCAAGTGGCCAACGTAATATATTCCAGCCTTTATCGTAGCTCGTGATAAAATTAATGTAAAGTAATTCCGCTGTAGTTGTACTCTTAACATAGTTGTGTGCTGCATAAATTCGATCCTGTCGTATAACACGGGGCAAATTCATAGAAGCGCATTTTCATTAAACAGTCGATATATTGCCTCGTTTTAGCAAAAACGATTAACGTATATTCCTTCGACATAATTCAACGCGCGACAGATCATTTGATAGATACTTATACCCTAATTAAACTGAAACGTTGGCATAAGAAGATCATTATTATATCGCGCGATCATGCTCGAATTGCACGTATACATCATTAGCATTACTTTAAATTGTACCTAATTTAGATCGCTATTACTTGTCACAATTTTCACAATTTTATTTATGACAGCTACAAGTATAGTATGTTATGTTAGTATATATATATATATATATATATATATATATATATATATATATGCATATATATATCCGTTGCTCGCACGTATCTAATATGACTTAATAAATATATTAGATATTACTTATACTAACATACATAACATACTATATTTGTACCTATCATAAATAAAATTGTGAAAATTGAATTGAATATATACATATATATAATTCGATGAATAGATTTGAATATATCCTACAATGAAATGATACGAATAACATTTAAATTATGTCTGAATAGTAAATTGCATATCGTTAAAGCATGTCGATAGAATGTGAAATTTGTCGACGGATCGACGATGGTAAATCTTACGATTATGATAGCAGCATGCTTTTGTATCTCGCGTTTTAACAACTCGCGATGAATAAATTAATTCAGGGGTTTTATATCGCGCCGAAAGAAAAGCCTATTACCATATTAGTCCGAAGTAATGTCGTTTCTCACGAAATGTTGATTTGTCATAAAACCGATAGTTGTCCATTATTATGTTCATGCGCTATTATTAACGAACCATTTTTATTTCGAAATAATTTTGAGTACGATAACAATTAATTAATTTTACTAAGCTGCAAATAATCTTTTTATTAGCGGATAAAGGTTTAGATTTTTCAGTATTTCATTTTTATTTTGTAATAAATGGTTTCTTGTCCGATATTACGATTGAACCTTGTTAGATCTAAACATAAGATATAAATTTTGATTTTGATTGTCAATGTGCAGGCAGTGTCGCGTTATACGTCCGATTTTGTGGAACGGCTCTTGCACATTGACTAGAAAAATCCCGGCTTCGGGCTTCGGCGCGGCGCGGCGCGGCGTGGCGCGCAGCACTTCGATTCCAACAAAACGTCGGCGCTCTTTTTGTCCGGCTCCTCCTCGCCTTTACCTTCCCTTTCTCTTCCCGCTTCGCTCGACCGACGGGCTGGCTCTTTCCTCTCTTTTCTACCCTCCCCCGGCCACCGTCGTGGATCAATACACCGTAGCGAAGCGGCAGCCCCGTAAATGTGATTGTTGCTCGATTTCTTGCGTCTTAATTGCCTCGCGCTTAACGACGTAATTACTCGACGAGGAAAAAAGGGAGGAAAAAGAAACATTCGCGCGGCGAGGTCAGCGCCGAGATCCTCTCTTTTCCCTCTCGATCATATTCTCCTTTTCTACTTACCTAGCTGTCAATCGCGGTGTCCTTTTTTCTCTCGCCTGAACATTCTTTCCTCCTCCACGTCATCGTCGATCTCGCCACGCGGGATCCCAAAAGTGCATCGGCCGTATAGGTAGTGCAATCATCGTAGTCACCGCTCAAGGAAGAGAAAGAAAGAGAGAGAGAGAGAGAGAGAGAGACGCAGGCGCGACGAGGCAAACGGAAACGAGCGAACGATAATTCGAGTAAGTGGCGCTGTGCGGCGTTGCCGACGGTACCGCCGGCGCTTTCCGCATCGCTCGTTAGCTGGCAGCACGAGTAAGGCGTCGTTCGGACGGTGTTCGCGTCGTCGGAGAATTCGCGCGCGATCGACGGATAATTTCTTATGATTATACGATCACGACACGATTCCTGGCGTGATAAATCTTCTCTTCGTGACTACTCTTCCTGTAAGTATCCGAATTTCTGAGCAGTGACTTGGATTTTACAAGTTTTCCGTCTCCGCTTATATCCGACAAATCTTGTTTGAAATGAAATGTATACGCCACGTCATTATGGACGAATGCGATCTGTTTTCGATCGACCTCGCGCCCGGCACGCTTGTATTAGCATGCAACGCGCGGTCGTAAAACAGTAATTAATAGAGCGCGATCGTGTTTTATGTATTTTTATGGATGATATATAATTTGAATCCCCTGGGCGGTTCCTCGCTCTTTCCAACGCCGAATGCCTCCCCTCCGCTCCAACGATACGATACGTCGTTGCACTCGATCGACCGTCGCTTTGAAATATAAACAGTGCATTTGCATGTTTTCCGGATTTAATTAGCTTCGATGCGATTATTAATTGCCCGCGGCCGCGGGAGTGGTTGCGCGTCGATACGCGCGCCGCGCTCGCTCGTATTTACAATTTTCGTTCGTAAATAACAAACCGTGGCGACGCCGCGGGTCGGATTTTAACGAGGGAATTAATAATCCCGTCTGTATGGCGGGAGGAGAGATTGGGACGAGGGCAGAACGACCGGGGTACAAAACGGGCGCGAGCGAATTCGCGTCGGAGTGGCTCCGTAGGAGAGTCGCGACCGTGATCGTTTGCTCTGCGATTTTACGACGTGGATTGCCGCGTTTAGAAAAGTGCGAGCTTCTTTGCATAACCGGGCGGAGTGGATCGTGAATTTTAACTCGGTGAATTTTAACTGGTTAGATTTATACGGTTCTTCAATCCTCACGGTATATTACATATCGAATCGCATTAAAATCTCTATAAGCAAACGTTTACGTTTGTTATTGTTGAATGTTTTCATATATTTTTCCGTTTTCATGTTTCGTATTACATCGAATCATATTATCTTATTAAGTAAACATTCCGCAACAGCAATAGCAAATTTTAAGATTTTATAACTTGCACTTATTTTAGATATATCGATAATAGTTAAAAAATATTATTTTTATGCATGTAAGCAGAATGCCTTATAATGTGGCGTATAAATTAGTATATTAATATTTCTTATAATATTATAACTAATAATTATCAATCATTATTGCGTGAAAAAATCCAAAAGAGTGCGACAGCCACGAATAGAGCTCTGCACTCGTGATTATGCGTTTCGGCGCTTCGCTTGGACAGATTGGTGCGAATACGTCTTTCGTTTCGTCGGGCGCGCCTGGCATCGGGTAGTTTTGTTTTACGGCCGTAATTCAAGTCGTCGTGTAGGGTCAGCCTACCGGGGCTGCCGAGATAGTTTATCATCATTTAATCCTTCCGACCTGCCGCAACATTTTAAATCTCTCCTATCTCGGTCCCGTGTGTCGTGGCCGGTCTGCGACACATGCCCGCAGCACGCACACGCGTTTACGTGACTCACGACTTCACGATGCACTCACGATTCTGAAAATAGAAAAAGAGTAAGAAAAAAAATACACGCAACGATTCGTCGCGTACTCGTTTCGTTATCTCGACTTAATCAGTTATCGACTTTATCGTTTTTTTTTCTCCGTAAGGATTCCCTATTTTCCTAACATGAGCAATATTGACGTAGGTTTTTACTTATTGTGTAACTAGAAAAAAAATGTCAGATGAGTACTCTGAACATAAAATGAAAAAAATCAAAGTGAGTGTTATCAAGATTTTATAATGATGTTGAACATGAAATTCCTCTTCAGTTAACAATACAACACAACTTAACGTTAACATAAAGTTAAATGCGACATTAATAGTTTCTCTTCCTTGCTGATCTCGATAAATTATTAGTGCAGGTTTCGTTCTATTTCTGCGTATCGTTAATCTTGAGAAGAAGGAGGAGAAAGGAGGAGCTAGGGAAAGGGGGAACGTCAAGCGCTGTCGATTCGCCGTGAATTTACGCTAAGTGCAACGCTGTTGCAATGACGGGCCGGTAATTCGGAGAACGTGGTCCCGAGGCCTCGGAAACGGGTCGGAGGTCGGTAGGCACAATGCCAGAAAGAGAGGAGGTTCCGCGACCGGGAACAGGGCACGCGGTTTATCCGGGCTCGGCGCCCTCGCTGCGCCGACCCTCGCTTTCTCGCTTTCCACCTTCCGGCACGCACATACACGCAGATTCGGTATTGTAGCGCTAATTAAACTGGCGCGTGTCACAAGTCACGAGCGGTGACGTCACTCGCCATGATTTCTAACCGTCCACCATGTATAGTTGAACCAGACTCCTGCTTGTCCAACTGTCCGGCGCCGTACCCTCTTCGTATGCGCGTCTCCATTGCGGTCTCTAATTCCGAGTGCGATGATTAATCTAATTATATCTTTATGGACATCAGGTACCAACTGCATCTGAAATTTCGGAAAGATAAATCGTAGCAGGAAAAACTTTTCTGATCCTGCAGAGGTTCCTCTGAGGTAATTGCATCAGAATTCATTGGTTCACGATAATGATATACGCGAATCATGGTATATTTTATCATATAGAACATAAAAATTTTTTGATTAAACATGAATCTTTTGTAAGAATGCATTCTTAACAATAAAATTTAATATCATTGACGTATCTACTTTTGAGATTGTAAGATCCGCGGTGAAGCAATTGCATCGATTTCCGTCCGAAGATTAAGTATTTGACTTATGATATTAATGCAAGCACCCGCGCCGTGAGATCAATAGCGATTTTTATCGTATTATTAATCGGTGCAGGCAAGGGAGCGCAATGCTATTAGTCGACCTGTCGAAATGGTAATCGAGTATTTACTGCATTAATTAAAACACTGTATGTTAAAAAATTATAAATTTACTATCACATAGACAGATCTAATAACAAATTCACATAAAAATATTATAAAAATTAAACCACATATATCAAACCATCAAGAAGTTTATAATTTTTTTTTTAGAAATTTTGTTTTAATTTCTTGAAGCATATGTCGCGTGAAAGAATGGGAAAGATACGTAGGTATTTTTTGAACATTTCCTAATATTGTAGAATAGAAACAAATAATTTCAGATTTTTTGGAATGTTATCATCCATTCCTCCTTACAATTACGTCTGTATGTAAACATTTGACGAAGGTGACGCGCGATAAGGGCTTAAAATGCGAGGGAAATATGGCGCAATCGCCGTACGCGCTAAGTGCCAACGTAAATTTGACTGTCGCGGACGAAAGAGTGTTAATTGTGAACTTACATTTTATGGAGGAAGTGGACTCGCGGAAGAGAGAAAGACGCGACAATGGGTAGCATGCCGCGAAGCCCGGTGCTCTCAGCTGTTGTCGTTGAGTTACGTTAACACCTTTGTTCGATCTTATCGTTGGTTGACCAGCGGGGCCCTTCGACCGTTTCCATTACGCTGTTTCTTGCCATTACGCGTTTAATGATAATCGCGCATCCGTATGCTGCAAAACCACTCGTATACTCTTAACTGCACAACTATTAAAACGTGTACCATATCGCTTTACTATCTTTATTTCAGCTAATAAGAATCATTTCTTTTTTTCGAATTAGCGGCTGATATGGTTACACTGTGTTTTTGATCGTATTAATACACATTTTTGTAAACTCTTTTGCACTCTCATGATAATCATGCTGGAAAATTCGCGCGCGAATAAGCGAGAACGCATACTATTACTCTAAAATTAGAATAATTACATGCATTGCGATACTGTCAAGTCGAGCTGTCACTTTGTTCAATATCTGTCCATGATTTCATGACAGTAATATAATTCTTAGTTGCTGTGTGTTATTACATGTAATTATATGTTACAACTTTCTCTTTCCGCTAGACGCGTAAGAATTTTTTGTTAGATTAGAAAATGGCGTAACATGTTGTATAAAATTAATTACTATATCGCTTGCGCTTAGTGAAGTCGTCTAGTTCGTCCCGTGTCGGCTGTTACAAACAGTATCCTGTTTATCAATAATTTGAATTTGAAAGACGCACCGAGAGACGGCGAGTTTGCAAGCCGCAACAAATTACGTCTATCGGGCGTCATTAATCACTCGGCATCTCCGACATCTGCGAACGCAGACCTCCGCCCGTCGCCCTCTACTTACCGAAGAAAGACGGCGTTTCTGTTCGCAAATGGAAAATAGGAATGGCGTCACGATGCTGCCCAACAACCTTGAAACGCTATCCACTTATTCCGCACAATTAGATTTTAATAGAACATTATTTCGTATTTTAATTTTGATTCGCTTTCCTCATATATTCATTTGCGAAAATTTTGAATAAAAATTTTAAAACACATTTCGAAAGTATCGATATTTAAAGAATAATTATTGAATTTTATGATTTGATGCGTGAAAATGTTGAATAATCTTCATACAACTCTTCACAGAAAGCAGGCTGTCACTTAAACGAGTCGGTTTACCGCCGGCATTATTACCGTAAATCGCGCAAACATCCGATTCGCCTCGAGCCGCGTAAGGTGAGGATAATTTTAATTAAGATAAGTGAGTTCGAGGTGTCGACGGCGGGGATTATTCGAAAATAATTTCGACGGACGTATATATAACGACACGCCCGGTTTATCCAGCGCGCTGATCTACGGATTATCTTCGACCGAAGAGAGAGGATACCCATCCCGAATAAATTACGCGGCGGTAACGTCGGTGGGTGGTGATAGTGAGGTGGTGGTATGAGGCGACGTAAGGTTAGGCAGAGTTTGCAAAGAGGACGAAACGAAAGAGAAAGGGAGAGTAAGATGCAAAACAACGAGCGAAAGAGATGTCGAGGATGGGTAGAAGAAGAGAGAGAGAGATACCGACGAGCCAAAAGGAGAGCAGGTGCAAACTTGGCCTGTCAGGAAGTCGCTTACAGCTCGAGGACAAAAGCTTCCCGAGGGACTCGTGCGCGTTTGGAAGCGGCACTAGGGACGCACAGGTCGGTCTGGATGGTGGAAGACGACGAGAAAGATGGTTGAGGGAGCTTGAGGGGAGCGAGAGGGACGAGCCTAACTGTGAAATAACAGGGTGGCCTCTTCAACCCTCGCCTTGAAGATGCGAGCCTCATACGTCACTTCCTTACGGCGAAAGAGGGCGGCGTCTAAGGGTGGAAGCGAGTTATATTGATTTATTTATACCGAGGAAGCTTCTCCGACGTGATGGGGTTATTGGGTACGTACCTATATTCTATCTATAACATCCGCTACAGTCTCCACAAGTGGCGAAGCCGGATACCGACATTGAAGATCCTCTTCGAATCTCTCTATCTCCTGCCTGGAAGATGATTCAACCTCGGATCGATAATTGCGCAAAATCATCTTGTAACGGTTAGAATCTTTTAAAATGGCGTTTAAATTGAGCGAGGGGCTTCCGGGAATTCGTATGATACATTGCACGAATTTGCAATGATTGGATCGAAAAGACAGATAGAAGATACACGTGGTTTAAAGAACTTGCCTTTTGAAACAAATTAATCCTTTCCTTAAATGGAAAGATTATTGTCGACACAAGGAAGAAACAAAACGGCGTCCGTCGCGTGTCTGACTGTTACATTCCAATTTATAATCCTCAGCTGTTGAGTGCAAAAATAAAGCCATAGCGGGAGTTCGCGTCGGTTTCAAGCGAAGATGACGTGGTCGTCGTATTATGGTCCATCCACCTCCCACCGATCGTACTCACTCCTCCAGGGCTTTGCCCGATACATGACTCGGCCCTGTGGCATGACTGTCGCGAACACGCGAACCCGTTAGACCAAAGTTAACCCGCAATTTAGCTACGGTGATCATTCAAAGGAGACGTCTCACTCGATGCCACTTAACGAATCTTTCTTCTGAAGAAACATTTTGCACTGTCAGATGCGACAATTATTCTGCAGACATATAGTCAACTTTGAAATTATTCAAGTTAGAAGCAATCGTTTAGTTTATGCTGCCTCAAACCCATCACCTCTGTTTTATTAATTGTAAGAAAGATTCTTTGTAAAATTTATTTTATGTACGTTCGTTTGAAAATAGAATCGTCTTGGTGTTTCGTGACTGTGTATCTATGTATTCTATGTAGTATATACGTTCATGAATGCCACCTAGATTTGACATACGACAGTCGTTGTATAGCCGTGTACCGAGATTCAGAGAATTCGGGTCAAAATACGCTAGAAACTCCAGAACTTTTTAGAATTCCCACGGTAAATCACAGTTACAGAGTTGATGGGGCGATGTGTATGATTACACCCTGTCTCCTAACGGCTATAAATCTCCATCTATCCGCCCCACCTCCATCCTAGGATTCTACAGGTATCCAAAGGACCTGTACCTCCGAGGACTTCGAAATGGCTGTGACGTATAGCCTGGCGGTGCGTAATGGGTCGGCAACGTGAGAGCAAATGACTTTGAATAATCCTGATATATTGTTTATTCACTTATCCGCGGCGTGGAAAGACGGGATCTCTTGCAACGAGATATCCCACGTTGAATCGACAATGCATTTTGAATATTTGTGTGTATTAATATATTTATCATGCTTTTTATCATTGCATTTTTCATCATTTCTTCAACTTACACGACATGTTAAGACGAAGAACAATTTATCTCGATAGATTTGTTCGCAGGTCAGGTGCCGGGACATTAATCTCTTGTTATTAACGCGATTCCGGTTAGTACCGGAATAACCATTATTTTCGAATCACCGACACAGCCCTGTCATTTCGATTAACCAGAAACTGACGGGTCGTGCCGTGACCGTAAAATCAAGAGTTAAACGCACACTATAATCAATATCGTTGGATTCGTTTTTAAATCCATTAGTTCGAAGCGCGCGCCAATTGAACGAGAGTTTCAAAATGATATTCAAAGTTAATCGTCAATGAGTCGACGAAGAATTGCTATTCGATTTCGCTGCATATTATTTGAAATTAATCTCGGTATTCATGATAAAGCGACAGTTGATCACATGCAAAAACGTTACAAGAACTTAATATCGGTGGACTGCACGCTCGTACAGAACGGGCTGAAGCGAAGCAATTTTCTGCTTTCCAAGAATATAATTTTCGCAGGGGGATGTGCCCGCTATATTTCCGAGATAAGACTATAGCTCCGCGGGATCTCCTCTCACCCAGCAAGACCCTACTCTCTCGTGTGAAATTACTTCGCTCCGCGGCTTACTCTTATCCCCCGGCGCCACCCTTTCTTACCGTGTATCCTCATTCAGCCGGGATCTCCCTGGAAATAAAGTAGATACCTTTCCTATTTTCGCATCTGGAAAATTGCAATACTGCAGTCGCGAGTGGTGCTCTCCGCTTGATAAATCAGTTGGAAGATAGAAAATTTTCCGAATTTGTGTAGCCACACGTAAAGAAGAAATAAGAAATTAATATTTCTTTTTTAATTTTATTTGCAAGCGAACTTTTATACATACAAGATACTTATCGTTCGATCACTTCACGTGGTGGCATTGATTACTATTACTTGTAATGAATGTAACTGTCGAGCGAATATCGCGCAACTCAGCATAAATGCTTTTCCGCGCTCTTAAATAATTATTATAATTAGCATAATTGTAAAATTATTCTTATTTTGGCAAAATAAATCGCGGAGATGACATCGCATGCTACTCAGAAAAAAAATGAAAGTACTATAGCTGTATACATATAGAGCACAGTACGATTGAATCTCTTTGGTCGAAGTCGTGACGCCGACGATCACGAATCTTTAGCTTCCTTCACATTAACCCTTTCTGTATACTTTTTCTCCATGACGCTCGCATAATAATGTTTTCGTGCGGGAATCGATATATGAGAACATCTATTTTTATACAAGAATTACAGGCTATTTTGCGTTATCAGCATGATTTGTTTTACAGTATTTTGATTACAATGTTGTAACTGTCGACATTTTATCTCGAAACAAATTCCCATTGAAGAATTTTTTTCATAATAATTTTCAACCGCTGGCTCATCAATATTTTTTTTATTTTAATGTATTCAAGACGTGTCAACGGTGTTACCTGATTTGTGAAAGGAGATTTAGAGGGATACACTTTTTTTCTTTAACGGTTATTTTTTTCCTAAAAGTACAAAGTATACAATGTCTATTTCTAACACAATTGTGCTTTTTACAAACAAAAGCGCATATGACAAATAGTGATTGGAAAATTATTACTAAAAAACTGATTATAAATTTCTCATAATTATATAGTAATAAATAATTTTTATTAAAATGTTTCAGGCAAATGGTGTCCTCGTAGAGAATGGAGTTCGCCTCCGGACGCGCAACGCGCGGCGACCGACGCGCGTCGTGGTGTCCTTTATTCCTCGGTTTTCCTCGGCAGTCCCGGTAAGTCGAGTTCTTCACATAAATCTCAAGTTTTTATATTTTGCTTATCAGAATTACTTGCGCACTCTTCAGTCGATTGCTATTTAGCAACAAAGTTGAAGTAACTAAAAATTTGTCATATTAATTTATTTATTGTCAATTACTTTATTCTGCGTAGGTATAACGCGATTATTTCGTGTCGGAATAATCTGTGTAAAATTTTGTAGATACAGTGCATTTGTATAATGATATCCCATTAGTCGTTAATTAACATATCTCTAAATAATTTAAGATCTCTTATAACTTCTTAGAAGATTTTTCTTAGAGAATTTCTCAGAAATTTTATTAGAATGTATTGATATTATTCGATAATTTTCTAACAATAATTATTATCCAGTTAATTATTATTTAACATGTGCTGATATTTCCCTCACATATTTGTGCATTATAATCATCGGGCGCTTGCTTTCTATGAAAGATTTCCTTCTTAATTTTTTATTTCAATTGCATGTATTATTTTTGTATTCAATAATTCTTTTTATGTGTACTTACACATTTTACTCTTTCTATATTTTGTGAGAGGTACAATTATCTTACTTGTATCTCTCTTTTCATTATATTATGTGCTTGCAGTAATTATGGTAAAGCATTAACTAAATAAATAATGTAAAAAGGGTAATTAAAATAATTAATTGCCTCATACAAAGATTGCACAACTTTGCAATTTTTAATTTTTAAGAAGCAATATATGTTTTGAATTACCAATATTTTTAATTGTATTTTTTTTTTAAGTATAATGCAAAGTATAAATTGTACATAATGACATTTGCCGAGCATAAATTCATTTTTATTTGTCCAAATTAACCTTCAATCATTTTTATCCATGAATAAAGCAAAGAGAAAAGATGCGCTTTATATGTACACTTTGTGTGCGTTCAGGGGGAGGAGCGAACCGTTGGCCGCATAAACAAGTTTTAATCGGCCTCGGGCATTCGCTATGCTGAATAAATATTGATATCGGGTGACGCGACGACCAATCAGAATTGCGATTTACGAAATAGGGCGCTTACATCTCGTTCGTTTTTCGCGCGAATGATTCGGCTTGGCAATGATTAGTGAATACAACGCTACGCACCACATAAAATTGTAGAAAACTCACTGTAAATTCTGTTTATTTTTTCTAATTTAAGCTCGACTGTAAAAAGAGAGTGCAACTTACAGTATTACAATCTTAGAAATCGAGTAAATCAAGTTTTTTTTTTTAACGAAAAAAGTTTCTCAATATTAGATTTCCGTTGTTCACGCTGTTATCACATGCGCGATCCTGCAGTAAGCGACATCGTGTCGACTTTCTTCGACATCAAGATCCTCTCGAATACCACAGATAAGCATCGCGCGAGAGAGTACATAACGAGGTTGCGAGTAACTCGCGTTTGATAAGTGATCGAATCGTTTCGGAGATGCATCGAGCCTCGATATTGCGAAGGACCAAGTATCACGCATGCGTACGCGTTCGCGGGCTGTCTCCTCCGTCTGTTCCTCTCTTTCGACCTCCCTCTCTCTGTGGGGCAGCGGTACCCTCCGCGAAGGAAGGACGAAGCGAGCGCGAGAGAGCGAGTTGCCCCTTGTCGTCGGAGAGAAGATTGGCGCTTGAGAGCAAGGAGGACGGAATTTCGCGAGTGTGAGAGTGTCGGTCGGCATGCGAACGGAGCAGAGAGAGGAAGAGAGAGAAAGAGAGAGTGAGAGAGGAACGAAAAGAGAGGAGAGGAGAGGAGAGCCGAGGGAAAGGGTGCCGCCATCTCCATGGCAACGAGGCGAGGCGGGAATGCGACGGTAACCATGGCAGCCGCGGGTTCCTCTCTCGGGCCGACCTGTCTGTCCCTCTTTCTGGCCTCTCGTTTTCCTCGTTCTCCTCATCTGGACGTTCTCCTCATCTTCCTTCCGCCCATGGAGTGAGTAAGCGGTCGCACGGCGGACGCCGCTCCTCTCTCGAGCCGATCCGTAAAGAAAAGGTGGGGCGGACTTGGGCTCGCGCCGCTCTGGAGAAAGGGTTTTTCTTTTTCTTCGTTTCCACCTTCGTTTCGCGCAGTCTCCCGTGGATCCTTTTTTCCGTGTTCAGGAGCATCGAGTCAATTTGGATGCGCGTGGAAAGTAGCTACTAGTGTGACTGCACAATATATAATTTGTTTAATTTCATCAGATTCCAAATCGAAAATGCGATTTACGTTTCTAAGATCGATATAAAATATCGATCGAAATCATAATATATGTGTTCTCGTCCATATAAAATAATTTACTCTTTTATTCAAAAGAGTGAAAGTAAGTTGGAAAGTAAATATCATACAATAATGAAAAATCAATTCATAGCTCATTCACTCTTTCTGTTGCGGTCTCTTTTGTATTTTTAACTATAAATTACCTCAATGTTTTTCAAGCAAACAGCATGTCAAACTTGCATGCCTTTAAGTGCGTAGTTGAAAGCTATCGACATTCTTCGACGCGGAAACGCTGTTCGCCACTCAGCTCGGGCGTGGAATATCGTAGATGCGCTTGATTATGTGTACATACGACTGTGGAGGAATCCCGAGATTCCAGGCGTCGTTTAACTCTCAATACGTTGCGCGACGACACGGCGAGAGTCGAGTTTCTGCGTCGACGACGACATTAGCGTGCCTCTGCGTTTTCCCTGACTGCATATTTCCGTCTTGCTCGTCTGCAGTTATGAGAGCGGCGACAAAGGCGTTTTCCGATGTCACCTGTGTTATTTCGAATTTTATAAGAACGTTTTTAAAATGTCATTTCCTAATCAACGTAGTGAATTTTTTCGATTGTTGTATGCGTTATATGAATCGCTCTTGAAGAATATTTCTTTTTCTCACAACCTTGTTCTCTTTAATTTCTCGCTTTAATAGCTCGTGTTTTATTACTACCATAAAGAGAAGTCGATCAACGTACAGCAAACGAATTATAAAATGCTGCCATGTGCTTTACAGTTTCAAATCCTCCCAGACATATTCCCGGTTTCCTGTTGATGCGAATGACAGGCAACGCAATTAACAGGTGATTCGCGCTCGAGATTCCAGAATCTCCGTAATGCTCATGTTTACGTAAACTTCCGCACGGTTTCCTTGAGCGATTGTTCGGTAAGCATGTTATCTCGGAGAGAAGAGACCGCAGTAAAATCAATCGTTCGACCAGCTGTAACCCACGGAAATAAAAGCGCTAATGGAAACGTGCCGTCAGTGGATGCACTAACGGCATTCCCGACGCTCGACGCGTGTCCTCGTCGTCTCCGTCTTCGTCGTCACCGTTGTCGCCGTCGTCGCCTTCGTCTCCGTTGACAAGCGCGGATAGCTTTCGGGACATGTGACGAGCACGTGTCCCGAACGAGAACATATCGGCTTTCGTCCTGGGATTAGTAAGCCACGGCGGAGATCTCCTCGCGCCAGCGAACTTGACTGCGGCGCCCGAGTTTTACTTTTTGTCACCATGTGCGGCGTCCCGACGCCGTTTAAACTTCTCGTCATGCGTCGTGATGCGTTAACACTCGTTTATTTTCATATCTCTTCCTCTTTTCCTCGCTACTCAAATGATAATTATAAACCGATCCGAATTATTCGGTCAATGAACTCTTTCTTGGATAAGGCCTTTGCCGCCCTTGTGAAACATAAGAACAAAAGCATTATAATAATTATATTACATTATTATATTTTGTATTTTGAATTTTCTAATGCGTTTCGAATCTATTGAAATTTTACTTGAACGATTTGATATATCTTTAATTTGATAATTATCTATTATAAACTGTCAACGCTGCAGTTGATTCACACTCTCGCAGCACATCTCGTAAGCAGAGAAACATGGACCAATTTCTGCTCGGTCGAGAGTCGAGAGAAATGAGCACCGGTGGCCAGTAATGAGCCAGAAAACTGGCGACAGCTTCGCTATGCACTCTATATCCTATTCCAACGAGATGGGGCTGCGATATTGTGCTATGTCTGTCCGTCGGGCATGCATGCACATGCACATATACATAATCACGTGAACGCTTTAAAGTGTACGGGTAGGTGCACGTGTGTATAGTGCGTAAGAAGGCCTATAACTCACGCGACTGGCCCGCAGGCTCATCTTGTTAGCGCCTCGCAGAAATCGAACTGAGATTCTCCTAACTATATAGTATATAGTAATACGGTCTCCTTCAGCGATATACGCAGAATTCTGCAGGAGGTAAATTCGATGCAAGAGAAAGGAAGAAAGAGTGAAAATTGGCGGTAGAAAGAGCATGGGAATAGTGCCAGACGACTAAAAGAATCGAGAATGGAGAAGAGAATAACAGAGAATAATTTCGCATACAGCGAGAAAGAGGAGAAAGAGAAGGAAAGAGAAGAAATGTATACTCTCCCTCCGATCTTCATCCTCCACCAACGCGCATAAATGCATAGCTATCTCCGGATGCATCTTCACCGGCGGAACGACCGAACGAAAAGAGCGCGTTATCGGTACTCCGACCTGATAAATCCCTCGAAAGAATAATGAGTCGACATTATTCATGCTGGCCCGTCAGCGTCGCTCGACCGGTCCGCTCTCTCTTTCTCTCTTCCCTCGCCCGTTTCACCGAAGGCAACGTTTCGGCACTTCGCCATTACGATCCCCGAAAACGAGCGCGGGAGAGAGATTCGCTCGTGGAATCGACCGGACGATATTAGGACAGCGCTTAGCTGGATCAACTGGAATTCGTTTGGGGCACGGACGGAGGGATCGGGCGACCGATTCGTTTGATCGATAGCGCGCTCTGACTTTTGCCTGATACCCATTCCCGGATAGCAATGTCAGAATGACGCGAAAGAATCGTTTAGCCTACGATTTACGTGAAAGATTTTTCAAGCAAGCTCAGATTTTACAAAAAAAAACAACGAGTTTCTTTCATTTTTATAAAGATCTTATTTTATACTTCATACTTGTTTATTATCACAATCATAGCAGTGCGTGCAAAGAATAATCAAAATTATATTATCATGATA